CCCACTACGCCTTCCAAGACGGCGCAAGGCAGTACACCCGAAGGAGGCCCCAAGGGGGGCCCAAACGGCCCCGCGAGATCACAGCATACATCCACGAGCCCTCTGTCGTCGTCCTCCTCCTCCACCTCCTGCTCCTCGCCTCCTCCTCCTCTCCTCCTCCTCCTCCTCCTCCTCCTCCTCCTCCTCCTCCCCTGTATCCCCCTTTTCCTCCTCGTCGTTTGCCTCTCCTCCCCACCATCCTTTTTCCTCCTCCTCATCAACATCATCCTTCTCGCCGTCTTTCTCTTGCTACTCCCCCGTTTCTGGGGCGCGAGCCCCCAAGCAGCGACTTTCTCAACTGGAAGCCGCCGCGACTAAGAGGGCGCGCCACCGCCAGCACGCGAACTGGGCGAAGAACCGCCCCCCGCCAGCGGTGGGCGAGAAAAGCGGGGGCGGGGGCGCGGCGAGGGGGGGGGAGGGGAGGGGAATCAAAATCCAAGGGGGAAGGGGGAGTGAGAAGGGATGCAAGAGCGACGCAATCAGAAAAAATATCCGGCCGAAAATCCTAATCGCGCCCTTCCCCACTGCGGAACTTGGAAGGAGGGAGGGAGGCACATTTTTTTTCATCGGGGGCCCGCGCTATCAGAACACATGCACAGCAACGCAATGACATGCAACGCAATGCAACGCAAAGCAACTTAGAGCAAGGCTCGCCAATGCAACGTGGAGCAAGCAACAATTCAAGTACACGTGCCACGGGAAGCAACCCAACGGAGCACAACGCAGACTACCGAACATGATTCCAGGAACTCACATATCCCAAAGACGGGCCGCCCTAGAAGAAAGCCAAGAGCCCGAGGCGCCCGAGGCGCCCAAAGTCGCCCGAGGCGCCCGAGGCGTCCGAGTCGCCCGGGGCGCCCGGGGCGCCCAAGGAACCCCGAGGCGCTCGTGGCGCTCGAGGCGCACGACGCGCCCGAGGCGCCGGAGGCGCCGGAGGCGCCCGAGGCGCCCGAGGCGCCCGAGGTGCCCGAGGCGCACGACGACGACGACGACGACGACGGCGAGCGCTCAATCAGGCGGGCGGGAAATTAAATGCAACAATCACTGCGTGACGCGAGCATTGGTGTTCAGTCGGGCGGGCGGGCGGGACATTAAATGCGAACTCCACTGCGCGGTGGGACAAGCTGAATCCAGTCGGGCGGGCGGGCGGCGCATGACATGCAACCTCCGCCGCGCGATGAGACGCGCTGCGCTCGGTCGGGCAGGCGGGCGGGACATTGCATGCAACAATCACGCGACGTGGCAGGCTGCGTTCAGTCGGGCGGGCGGGCGGGGCAGAAAATGCAACCCTCGCTCTGCGATGGGGCGAGCTGCGTTCAGTCGGGCTGGCGAGCGGGGCAACGAATGCAGCCCCCCACTGCGCGATGGGACGAGCTGCATTCAATCGGGCGGACGGGCGGGACATCAAATGCAACAATGGCTGCGCGACGTGAGAAGCGGCGCTCAGTCGGGCGGGCGCGCGGGGCATTAAATGCACCCCCCACTGCGCAACGGGGCGAGCTGCGTTCAGTCGGACGGGCGGGCGGCGCGGGAAATGCAACCTCCGCCACGCGATGAGACAAGCTGCGTTCAGTCGGGCGGGCGGGCGGGACATTTCATGCAACGATCACTGCGCGACGCGACAAGCTGCGCTGTCGGGCGGGTCGGCGGGGCACCACATGCAACCCTCGCCCTGCGACGAGGCAAGCTGTGTTCAGTCGGGCGGGCGAGCGGGGCATCATGTGCAAGCCCCACTGCGCGATGGGACAAAGCGCGTTCAGTCGGGCGGACGGGCGGGGCATCAATGCAACAATCACTGCGCGACGGGAGAAGCCGTGCTCAGTCGGGTAGACCGGCGGGGCATCAATTACAACCCCCGCTGCGCGCTGGGGCAGGCCGCGCTCAGTCGGGCGGGCGGGCGGGACACTAAATGCACCCCCCACTGCGCAACGTGAAGAGCGGTGTTCAGTCGGGCGGGCCGACGAGCATTAAATGTGGCCCTCACTCTGCGATGGGACAAGCCGCGGTGTTCAGTCGGGCGGGCGGGCGGGACATTGAATGCAACAATCACCGCGCGATGTGACAAGCTGTGCTCAGTCGGGCGGGCGGGCGGGACATTAAATGCACCCCCCACTGTGAGATGCGACAACCAGCGTTTTGTCGGGCGGGCGGGCGGGGCATCAAATGCAAGCCTCACGCTGCGATGGGACAAGCTGTGTTTGGGCGGGCGGGCCGCTGGGACATCGAATGCAACCCTCACTCTGCGATGGGATGAGCTGCGGTGTTCGGTCGGGCGAGCGGGCGAGACATGGAATGCAAACCCCACTCTGCGACGGGGCGAGCTGCGTTCACTCGGGCGGGCGGGCTATGGGGCGAGCTGCGTTCGCCCGAGGCGGCTCAAGATGCGCCCAAGGTTCCCAGAACATCACGGACCTCGCAGACAGAGTGCCCAGAGGGGCACAGAGCCGACTAGGCACGGCGCCCACGAGCACCCGAGAGGACGCCCGGGAGATCCCAGGGAGCGCGCCAAAGAAAGGTCCTGAGAGCGACGCTGTCAGACCCCAGGCTGGCCACGAGATCTTCGACAAGCGTTCGCGTCATCCTCGCACTCCCACTCCTGCTCCTTTCCCCGCCCCCCTCCGCCTCATCGTCATCATCATCAACATCCCCGATGCCGCAACCGTGCCCACCACCATCATCATCATCATCATCATCATCATCATCAGCAGCAGCAACATCATCATCACCACCGCAATCATTATCATCATCGTCATCATCGTCGTCATCAGCATCATCCGTCATCGTCATCATCGCCGTCGTAATCATCATCCTCTCGTCCTCCTGTCTCCCCATTTCTTTCACAATTCTCACACCATCACTTTTCCCCGTCGCTTTCTCATCCTCCCCCTCCCTCTCCTCCTACTCCTCCTCTGTGTCGTCGTCGTCGTCGTCCTCCTCCTCCTCCTTCGCCTCTCCCTCCTCCTCTACCGCCCCCCGCGTCCTCCTCCTCCTCCTCCTCCTCCTCCTCCTCCTCCTCCTCACCATCCCAACCCTCGCACTCTATAGCGCCGCTCGCTCTGCCGGCCCACGCTGTGGCATCCTTGCCACTTGCTCGCGTGCTCGCTGGGGCAGTTAGGGGGCTTCCTTGCTCCGCTGGGAGGTCTCTCAGGGGCGTCTTGGGAGCGTTCTGGGGGCCTCTTGGGACTTTCTTGTGGGCTTTTAAGAGCCGCCTTGGGGTGAAGTCGAAATGTTGCGTCGAGCTCTCTCTCTGAACCCCGATGGGGGCATTCTGGGCGCGATCTTGGATCGTCTTGGAAGCCTCTCTGGCCGTCGTGGAATTATATGGGGCTGCAAGTTTAACTACGGGCTCGTTGGATAACGTGCTGGGGTGCTGCTGCTGCCCCGCACCATGCACTTGACTCTGCACGCCCAGCTCGCCGATACTCCGCAGCTGGGGCACCCCAGTGTCGGTTTCGCCCTGCGAGCAGGGAGCCTGGCGGCGCCATCGCGGCGAGTCTGGGGATACACGCGTCCAGGCTCTAGCAACAGATTTGCGGCTTCTCGCTAGACAACCAGAAACAGATGTGCTCTGGCAGGAGCTCACAGTGTGACTGCTCCAGCAGGAGCTCACAAAACCTCTAGGAACGATCCGCGGACTAGCGGTCTCCAAGTTGCCGCTGGGCGACGTAGAGTCTTGAGCCAAAATGGAGACGGAGAGAGACAGAGAGAGAGAGAGAAAGAGAGAGAGAGAGACGAGGTAAACGTGGACGAAGAGGGACGCAAGTGGCGAGGGGGAGGCAGGAAGGACGGTAATCAAGGAGGAGTGAGCGAAGAGGAGCAACAAGAGGGATGAGGGGGAGGGGGAGGAGACGGATGGAGGAGGGAGCAGAAGGGAGAAGGGGGGGGGAGGGGAGCCGAGGAATGGGAAGGAGGGGGCGAAGAAGGATAAGGAACAGCGAGGGGCAGATAGGAAGAGGGGGCTGCAAGGAGCAGGTGTGAAGGAGGATACCAAAAGATAACGAGGTGGAACATATTATGGTGGTGGTGGTGATGATGGTGATGATGGTGATCATGCTGATGCTGATGATGATGGTGATTTTTACTAAAAAGGACAATGGTAAAAAAGAAACTGAGTGGGACGGATGGCACAGGGAATAGGCGGGAGCATGTCTGACGCAGAGCAGAGTGCAGTGTGAAGGGATTGGTGGGCGGGTTGGGGTGACCGACGTGGCGCGCGCACCGTGCTTGCCCTCCACCTCCTCGTCCTCCTCCTCCTCTTGCCTTCTCCTCCTCGTACTCCTCTTTCCTCCTCCGCCTCCTCGACCGTCGATCCTTGATCCTCGATCCTCCTCCTCGACCATCGACCCATCTCCTCGACCATCGGCCCTCCCCCTCCTGCTTTTCCTCCTCCTCCTCGGTCCTTCTCCTCGATCTTCGATCCTCCTCCTCGGTCCGCGATCCTTCTCCTCCTCCTCGAGCCCTCTCCTCGATCCTCGACCCCCGCCCTCCCTTCTCTCTCCTCCCCATTTCTTACCCCCACCCCCACTCCGTCTCTCCCTGTTCGGGGATCTTCTGATCCGGGTCATTCTAAACCCGAGTCAGTCAGGCCTTGCAGGATCCTGCAGGACTCTGCACCCAAACACAGATCGATGCGACCCTGGCCCTGGAGGATCCTGCAAGACCCGGCGCTCTGGCTGACCCCGTTTGTTTGGACGCCCGAAATGGGTACGGAAAGAATGGGCACTATGCCCAACAACAAGTGTTGCCCCAAGCCAACAGCGGCCGATGTTGGGCAGGCGGCCTCCTGTCTCGAATGGACACAGGCCGCGGCGGCGTGGACAGCGAGCCCTGTTCAAAATGAACAAGATCCGCTGTTGGGCATTGTACCCATTCTTTCAGTACTCATTTCGTGCGTGCAGACGTTTGCACTGGCCCCCGTCTCTTGACCCCCGGTCTCCGGCGGAGGCCCGCAACCCAGCCGCCTCCATGAACGCCCGCGCGTTGCCGGCAGCCTCCAGGACGGAGGCGGGGCCGTTGGCACCCAGGCGCCCAAGGCCTGCTCTCGGCGGCCTCGTCGTCGTCGTCGTCGTCGTCGTCGTCGTCGTCGTCGTCGGCGTCGGCGTCGGCGTCGGCGTCGGCGTCGGCGTCGGCGTCGGCGTCGGCGTCGGCGTCGTCGTCGTCTTCGTCTTCGTCGTCCCCCTCCTCCACTTTTAACGTTAGGCGAGAATCAGGAGCAGAGCCTGTAGCGTTCCACTCCTCCTCCTCCTCCTCCTCCTCCTCCTCCTCCTCGTCCTCCTCCTCCTCCTCCTCTTCCTCCTCCCCTACCTCTTCCTCCTCCTCCTCCTCCTCCTCCTCCTCCACCCCCCTTCTCCTCCTCCTCCTCCTCCTCCTCCTCCTCCTCCTCTTCTTCCTCCTCCTCCCCCCCTTCTCCTCCTCCTTCTCCTCCTCCTCCTCCTGTCATACCCGTGGGGGTTGCGAGGCCGAGGGGCGGGGGTGGACTGGGTCCGGCGCAAGAACCAGCGCGAAGCCTGCAAGGCGGCGCGCCCATCTTGCACGTCTCCGCGGTGGCTCCCTGTCGCCTGCTGCCCTGAGCGGTGCACAAACAAGGGCATACGATCAGGTCGGGCATGTCCCCATGAGGCGGATTCTAGAACAAACTTCAAAAACAGTAAAAAATCAAACATAGCAAAAATCAAACAACTCGTCCCCAGACTATGTTTGGACAATTCTTGGATATTCCTCCTGTAGAGGGACACGCTCGGCATAAACATAAAAGGGTCAGTCAAACTGGCGTGCCCCTGGCGAACCACCACCTGGCCGCGGCTGGCGAGGGGCAGCGCTCCCCAGCAGCACTCTCTCGGGGTGCCCAGGTGCTGTGGCTGCCACATCGAGGTGCTCATTCCTCTTCCTCCTCCCTCCTCCTCCTCCTCCTCCTCCTCCTCCTCCTCCTCCTCCTCCTCCTCCTCCTCCTCTTCCCTCCTCCTCCTCCTCCTCCTCTTCCTCGTCGTCGTCCTCCTCCTCCTCCTCCTCCTCCCTCCTGCTCCTCCTCCTCCTCCTCCTCCTCCTCCCTCGTCTCCTCCTCCTCCTCCTTCTCCTCCTCTTCCTCGTCGTCGTCCTCCTCCTCCTCCTTCTCCTCCTTGTCCTCCTCCTCCCTGATCATGAGCCCTGGCATCCTTTCGCTGCGGAAACACTCACGCCGGAGGGCTCGTGTACATTTGCGGCCTCGGGGGGGGCGGCCTCTCAACGATTCAGGACGATCAATTTTCGGCATCGGGGGGGGCCCTCTCCAGGCCCAGGCCCAGGGCGACGGGCCAGTCCGGAATGGTCCAGACTTTTGGGGAGACACGTGGGCAACAAAATCACAACGGAAGATGTCTGGGAGGCTCTCAAAATCGGCGGCGAGCGAGGGGGGGAAGTGAGAAGGAGAAGACCTTCTCAGAAGGCGGCGGGACTTCTCAGAAGCCCGCGCGCCTTCTAGGAAGTTTTCTGTGTCTTCGGCTTAGAAAACTTCTGAGGAGGTCCGGGGACTTCCGAGCCTTCTGAGAAGGCCCGCCCCTTCTCAGTTCCCTCCCTCGTTCGCCGCCGGCAAAAGACAGGAGCCGGGAACACCAACGACCGCCTCGACGCCGAACGAGCGCCTCGAGTGATCCTCAGAGTCTGGCTGCGAATGCGAACAAAAATAGATCCCCCTGGCGGCACCCCCTTTGGGTGCCCAACTACTGTGCCTGCTACACGCAATGACCATGGACGGAACTCATGTTAGGAACAAGCACAAGTGGATCTGGGTATGACTGGCAGAAAGTGATCACCATATGACTAAGATGAATAAGAAGAGTGATTTGAGTGCGTGAGTCCGCGTGATAGCATGAGTGTGACTGAGTCTGAGGGGGGTGAGTCTGATCATGAGTGTGACTATAAGTGAATATGGGTATGAGTGCGTCTGAGAATGGATGAGTCTGAATGTGAGTGATCAGAAAGGTGAGTGACTGGGTGTGGGTACGTCTGGGTATGACTGAACTGAATACGATTGGACCTGGGGAGGCGGGTGAGTGAGGAGGCGGAGGCGTCAGAGCGTCACACTGGCAACAATGACTCCGTCTCAGGAAATGGAGAACAAATGTGCACCAGGTAGACGAATCAACAGTAGTAACACTTCAGACACTAAGAAAATCCAATGCGCACCTCGGAACCCGACTTAGGCTACGCACTCATGGACAACGTACGACCACTCGGCCCCCGCAATCTGGCTCATATGTGCCTCGATTTCCCCCTTTCTCCTGCCCCCGGCATCCCCCTCCCTCATCCCAACTTGGCCCGCATCCCTGATGGTACCTTTCCTAGTTATGCTGGTCCCATCAAGACGGCCCCGATGACCAGCTGGGAGCGCGAGGCTGCGGTGGTTACAGCACAAACATCCGACGACTGGTTGAGGCCTCACCCTTCTCTAGACGAACACAGAACGCCACAGACATAAACTTTTGGCGCTCCGAGCGGATCTCTTGGATCTGCGCTGGACCCCCCTCCCTGGCGCGCGGAGCGCGCCAGGGGCGGCGCCGGAGGCGCCGCTGGAGGGGCCCAGCGCGGACCCAAGAATCCGCGCGGAGCGCCTCCAGTTTATGTTTATGGCGTCTTTCGTCTTCGACCCTCCCTCACTCTGTGTTTCCCCCGCACGCTGTGCTACGCACATGCTCCAAATGCTCCCCCCCCTCCCTGCCCTTCCCGCCACTGCTGCCTTCGTCGCTCCGGAGCCACCCGCGGAACTCCTCGAACGAGCACTCGGGCGGCGGCGGGCACTCCGCCAGCAGCTCCAGCACGACGAAGAGCAACAACATCGGCTCGTCCTGCCATGGGGGCAAATACATTGCGCAGGGACCGACAGTCCCAGCATTCCTATGGGCCTACCAAGAAGTGTTCTTAGAACCCAGACATGTTCTAAGAACAAAAACGATGTTCTTATAACGACGTAAACCCAACGTGTTGAAACAGAAGGATCCCGGGCAGAACTGCCCTGAGAACATCTCGCGCAGAACACAAAAGGTAATCATACTACTATTTGGTGGGCCTATCGGCGAGCCAAGACGCTTCGCCACTGCTTGTTGGACGCCCGAGTTATCCGGGGTAACTCGGGTCCGGGATAACTCGGGTTTGGGTTCCCGAAAAACGAACCCGAGTTATCCCTGACCCGAGTTACCCCTGATGATTCGGGGCTCTGGACGCCCGAGTTATCCGGGGTAACTCGGGTCCGGGGTAACTCGGGTTCGGAATCCCGAAAAAGGAACCCGAGTTATCCCTGACCCGAGTTACCCCTGATGATTCGGGGCTCTGACTTGATGTGCTGAGACGAGATATTCCTGGAAACTCTGTTCCTGGATTGTCCTGCGACTCTTTGCAAGCCGGCGACGGCCGGCGAGATCCGTGAAGCGACCCGGGGCCGACGCGAAGGCCCCGCTCTCTGAGGCCCCAGTTGCAGGGCAGCGGCACGAGGGAGGACGAGGAATGGGAAGACGAGGCAGTGAGGCGGGTGCAAGCACTCCTTTACTGGTTTGATGTGAGACACTTGCATTGGGGTTCCTCGTGAGGAGTGTGAGTGAATGCGAAGACGAGCAGGGTAAATAGGACCAGGAGGCGGACGCAGAGGCCGTGTCGAGGGCACAGGGAGAGATTGAGCAGGCCGAGGAGACACGCACGGAGCGAAAGCGGCGGATAAGGCGGATAGTCGTCCCAACCTGCGAACAGAACTGCAAACCACATCCGCCCTAATTACACCGCCGCCAACAACAGCCACTGGCCATGACGCTGTGTAACCCTACAGAGTACGTGCACCCCGAAGATATTTACGCAGTGGGAAACGGAGAGGAGGGCGGAGTGGTGACATACTTCCCTCGACTTTAATGCCCATTCGCCCCTCAACCCTGACGCTTCTACTTTCCCGCCCGCGAATGCCTATGTCTCCTTTTGGCTCGCGTGCGCGCCAACAGGACCGGACGCCCTACTGTGGTGCGTGGCCCCTGTGCGCGAAGCCATGGCCCTGCATCAACAACTCCCCGCCCGCACGAAGGAGGAGGCGCACCCCCAACCATGTCCAAACAACCCCTCTCCATGATTCCCCTCCTCCGCCCCCTCCACCCCTCTCTCTTCATCACACTTGCCTTGGTCCTCCACCTCCTCCTGTTCCTCTTTTCCCACCCCTCCTTCTCGTCCCCCTCCCTCCGATTCATCGTCGCATGTTGCTGGTTCTCGTAACTATCGTACCGCACCTCCTAGTCCATCTTCCCCTCAACCTCCACTTTCTAATCGGTGAACCAGAATCTCGAAACGCTGCGTGACGGCTCAACACGCCCTTCGAACTCCAGATTGTCTCGAAATGCAGCAGAACTTGCTCGGGCCGCCGCGAACGCCACAAGGTGAGGACGTAAGTTGGCGCCGGAGGCGACATGCAGGAGCGAAGAGAAGGCAGGAGGAACGCGACAGAAGATTAGTAGCAGCAGCGGTGGTGGCAACGGCGCAACTGGAGTACGGAACAAAGATTAAACGATGGTAGCGTCTGTGCCAGCCCCATCCCCCTGGCCGACGCTGGCTTAAGGGCCCCTTCGGATCTGGAAGCAGGGGCGGGGCACAAGGGGGGTCGATGTCTATTTTTGCCAGTTGGACAAAACACAAGGGAACCCGTCATGTGGCTCGCGCTCTGCCCTCGCGCGCACTGCGACGGAGGGGGGGGCGCGCCGTCGCGGAGGCGACGCGCCAGCGCAACCCTTCCCAACGCGGGCGCTCCCTTACGCTGACTCTCGCGCGATCACAGAATCAGCAGCAAAGCCAATGGGGTGACACGCGATCCCTTGTGGCTGTCAGGCCGCGCCCCCGCCGGCTGAGCTCGTGGTCGCCGCGGGGCCCCGACTACCGGATGCAGCATCCGCGCTCTGGAATCGAAGTCCCGGCCCACGATTAGGGGAACGATAACAATGACATGAACAGTAAAAAACTCGGAAGGCCGCGCGGATTTCTCGGATCCGCGCTGGACCCCCTGGCGGCGCCTCCGAAGCCGCCCCTGGCGCGCTCCGCCCGCCAGGGAGGGGAGGGTCCAGCGCCGATCCAAGAAACCCGCGCTGACCTCCGAGAATTGATGTTTATGCCATCGCTCTTGTTCCCCGGGTGAAATCGAAGTCCCGGTCCCAGGATCCCCGTCGAAGTCCAAACGCGCGGCTCATCAAGGGCACGCTGTTTCAACCGCGACTGCACAGCGTCGCCTTCGCCGCCCGCGTCGGGTGCGCCCGCGCGCACCCCGACATCCTGCCGCTCCAATGTTTTCGGTACGTGGGCCCCGGAGGTCTGGACCACTTCCCCGGGGCCAGTTTTTCGTCCCGAATCGTTTGTTGACGCTCCCGAGGCTGGGCGAGGGCCCCCGGAGGCCAAAAACACGGCCCAAAAACACGACGCCCCAGTTTTTATTGGAGCGTCGGATCTCTGGGAAAGCGCGCCAACGGCGGGCGTTTCTTGCCGCCGGGCTCCCGCGCCGGGACATGTCCTGAATTGCAGCGATGCAGCTTACACGCCAACGTCGGCAAAGACCAGCCCGTTCTTCTGTGTCGTCCGTGTGGCTTGCTCACGACTCAAGATTAGGGATCGAGGACCAGCGTTTGGGGGAGTCTTTGGGCCCTGTCTTAAGAGCCTCTGGGAGTCTTTGTGTCCTGTCGTAAAAAAGTTGGTGCGACATGTTCCAAGGCTCCGTCGGTCCGAGGCGCAGGCCCTGCCCCGATCCCCCCGGGATCAAATGTTAGTCGCCCCGCGGTATCCCAGACGGCCGCCCCTGCTCCGCGACGAGGAGGAGGAGGAGCAAGAGGAGGAGGAGGAGGAGGACGAGGAGGAGGAGGAGGAGGAGCAAGAGGAGGAGGGGAAGGAGGAAGAGGGCCAGGCTGGATAGTGATGCTTTGTTGTTCGCTGTTTCTTGGAATCCCTCTATCTACACAGGGAAGGGAGGGAGAGAGATAGAGAGAGACAAAGGATGAACAATAGGAGCGAGAAAGAAAGCAAGAGCGAGAGACAGAGCGATAGCGATATAGGGGAGGAAGAGACAGAGAAAGAGAGAGAGAACGAGAGAACAAACAAACACAACTAAACAAACAACAACCCACCGAACGCGGTCGGCATCTCGTTAAAACGCCGGCTGGATCTGCTTAGCAACCTCCAAAGGCGCGGAGCTGACCCTCACGCTATACTGCATTGGCTTGCGCTCCTGGCGCGGGTCTAGACGCTGCCTCGCTGCCAGTAGCATCTCAAGTCTCTCAGGATTGCAGTGGTTTTTGCGACCGCCATATGGCTCCCATCAGGCGGCAGCCCCTTGCCAGTTTGATCACTTCTGCGCGGACACAAGATTCGCTGGGCCGACGGGGGCATCTAGGTCAAGGTGCCGCGAGAGGCGGCTTCCGCTTGCAGCCGCTCATTGTCCGTCGCCTGGCTCCCTGTGAAGACGACACCCGCCTCGATCACACCGATCGCCAAGTCACCATCGATGCACATCACGCAGTGACCCCTGGCTCCCGCTGCCTGGCTCAAGTCCACCGCGAGAGAAACGTCGCGACGGGCTCGCGCCTCGTCTGCCCAGCGCCACGAAGAAGCAGGTCGCGCCTCATCCCGTCGCTCTTGGGCGCAGCCGCTGACGAGCGGGCGGTCGCCGGGGCCCGGCTGGCCGCGCCCTGCGAAGCGCCCTGCGTAGGAAACATGAGCTCCCCAGGTCCCCCGAGAGGGAGCAGCGCCGGTGCGGGAGCAGCGCCGGTGCGGGAGCAGCGCCGGTCTGTAGGAGCAGCGCCAGGGTGGTGCAGCGAGTGCAGGAGCAGCTCCCGAAGGATTGCAAAAAAACCCAAAGGATTGCCAAAAAACCGAAGGATTGCAAAAAAACCCTGGATTGCAAAAAAACGAAGGATTGCAAAAAAACCTTCGATTGCAAAAAAAACCCTTCGTGCCGGGGCCCGACCTCTTCCTCGTCCGAGCTGCTGCTGGCAGGCGCGGGGGGGGGGGGGCCGCGACCTGGCCCCCCCGCGCCTGCCCTTCTGACCTGCCCGCGACTCGAGGCGTGCAGCAGTACGGCAGGTTCGTGTCGTGTCGACCCCGGCGTTGGTTCCCGACACCGCGCTGGATCGTTCAACCTTGAACGATCGGCCGTCTCCGCAACGTCCGATCGTTCAACACCGACCGATTCTGGGCCGCCGGCGGCGTTCAACCTTGAACGTCGGCGGCGGGGTCGGCGCTGGTCGACACGACGCGAACCTGCCGGAGGGGGAGTGGGGGGGCATGCGTTACTTGGGGGGCTGCCAATGGCGCGCGTTCTGGCCCAGAGGCTTTAGAAGACATGCGCGAAGGATCGTCGTCGTCGTCGTCGTCGTCGTCGTCGTCGTCGTCGTCGTCGTCGTCGTCGTCATCGTCACCGACGAAGCCGCCCGCCCCCTCTCCCGCTTGGCACCGGGGCACGGGGCCGCGCAAGTCACGCGCGCGGGGGGAGCTGCCGGCTGCCGCGACCTTTGCAGGAGCGCGGTCCGTGGTTTCGTCGCAATTGCCGATCGTTCCTGGGCCCGCGAACGCGAGGTCGGGCGCGGCGCCACGCTTTTCAAACTTCTACTGCGCAGCAAACTTCTCAAAAGGGCACGCTGTCACATCGCCGGAGCGATCCCCGTGGTTCAGACGAAACCGCCCCTGTGCCCGCGGGAAACTGCGATCTGGGCGCCCGGCCATGCCCACGCCAAGTCGGTCGCGCCTGCCGCGGCGAGCTGCGCTGTCACCGCAGGTCGCCAGGAAGGCGGGCCTGGGGGCCGCGATGGGGTGCGTGATGCGCGGGGCGCCG